GTTCCCCTAAGTTATATGTTTCCATGTCATTCTACTGTGATCCATTCTCTCTAAATGACCAAACCACCTCACAACCCCTCTTCGCCCTCTGACTAATACTTTAATTAACTCCACACCTTCTCCTAATTTCCACACTCCGAATTTTTTGCATAATATTTACACCACACATTGCCCTTAGACAGGACATCTCCGCTGCCTCCAACCGTCTCCTTGCTGCTGCATTTACCACCCAAGCTTCACACCCATAATAAGAGTGTTGGTACTACTATACTTTCATACATTCCCTTCTTTGCCTCCATAGATAACGTTTTTGACTCCACATATACCTCAACGCACCACTCACCTTTTTTCCCTCAATCAATTCTATGATTAACCTCATCCTTCATAAATCCATCCGCCGACACGTCAACTCCCAAGTATCTGAAAACATTCACTTCTTCCATACTCCTCCTCCCCAATTTGATATCCAATTTTTCTTTATCTAAATCATTTGACACCCTCATCACCTTACTCTTTTCTATGTTCACTTTCAACTTTCTACCTTTACACACATTCCCAAACTCATCCACTAACCTTTGCAATTTTTCTTTAGAATCTCCCATAAGCACAGTATCATCAGCAAAAAGTAACTGTGTCAATATACAACATGTAAAGATAAAATACTTACAATGCATGAAGCCAACAAGTGACAGAGAACAACATAAGCCAGCTGTAGGTAGGCACGTCGATGGATAGCATTGACAAACAGAATACCCCAAAACACATGGAGCATAATGAATGCCAAACTAGTAAATGCTGAAGCTACCACAAAGTTATGAGGGTCGCCTTTAAGCCCAATAGTTCCTGGACCTGTTACATCAGCCAAAACATTCACCAGAGAGAAGGCACCAGAAATCATGCCAAATCCTAATCCAGACACTGGAAAAAAAAAAAAAGATAATAATTTTGAGTAATTTTTTACCTAATTAAAAATGGATGTAGACAGTATTCATATGATAAACAATAAAAATATTTACCATATGCTAAAATGTGCTTGTTTTCCACAATCTGGAGATTTCCATCGCTCACCTTCCTCAGACCTCCCTCTGCCTTTTGGATAAGCAAGAACCACAGAAACCTGGAAATAATTATGTTTTTTTTTTTCAATAAGTAAACGTCTTCCCCCCAAAAAAGGCGGGGGTCCCCAAAAAAGAAAGAAAATTTCCCCAAAAAAAAAAATTACTTTAAATCTTCTTTCAACACTTTCACCTCTTTAAAATAATCCTGTTTTTGAAAGGGGGTTTGCCCAAAAAACAACATTTTAAACATAAAATAAAATATATAACATATCCCTCCAAACTTTTCCAAAAACCCCAAAAACCCTTTTCTTTAAAGTGCAGACATAGAAACTTCCCTTTTTCCAAATACTCATTCCAGATATAAAAAAAAACCCGGGTTTTCCCCTGAACCCCCTTCAATAAATTTTAAACCCTGCTCAAACTCCCAAAAAGCTCGTCAGCCCCCAAAAACCACCCAAATCCCCACCATCCTATTTAACAACGCTCCCCCAAACCGTTTGCTGGAACCCAAATTTCCTCCCCCCCCAAAACCCTCTTTACCCCCTCCCCCCAAACCCTTTTTTCAAGGACACCCCCTTTACCCTGCCTTCCTTCCCCTACAGTTTTATATGCCCCCCATGCCCATTCTACTTTAATCCATTTCTCTCTAAAGGGCCCAAAACCCACCTCATATATTTTGTCAAAAACCAAAAAAACAATTATCTGAGGGTCAGCAAAAATTTATATTTAAAAATTTTTTTTTAAAGGGTTTGTCCCCTACCAGTAATATTGAGTTTTATTTTATAATACGTATTTAAAATCAATTACTCTTCCTCATTTTAAAATTTTAACCCAAAAACGGGGGTACAGGGGTTTTACTAAATGATTTTTGTGAAAAAAAGACACATAAAGGTTTGGTCAATATTTTGAATAGCTGCTTGGATTTCACCTTAATAGGGGTTTATTTTTGTAAAACTGTCCAACATTGGTGGGCTGGGGCAATGGGCATTTATTTTCGGGAACCAGGGGATCTTTTTTTTTTTTTTTTTTTGGGGGGGGGCAACTAAACCTAAACTAACATAAACCATCCAACCTTGCCAACAACAATAGTAAAAATTTTAGGTTAGGTTTTTTTTGCATTTAAATACCTAAAAATAAAATTTTAACCCCCATTTTACAAAAAATATAAAAGCCCCCACTGCACAGCTCACTGAACACAAAAGAATTTGCTAATAAAAAACAAGCAGCTACCCTTAATATTGAAAAGATTTTAAAAACAAAATCAATCAAATGTAGTTTTTAAAAACGTATAATACCCGATTTAGCAAAATTAATAGTTGGGTATTTCCCAAAATCAAATACTGATGAATATTATTTCAAACAACCCTGAAACAACAGCATAATTCTTTCAACAGAACAAAAATTACAAAACTTTGTAAAATTTCAAAAATAATATTTACCGAAAAAACCCCCCGGGCATAAGACGAGAATACTCCCCCCCAAAAAAACGATGCATTATTTAACTGGGTGACCGAAACTGTAAAAATTTAAAAAAAACACAACGCAAGAAGCCAAAAAAAAAGAACTGGGGAAAAAAAGTAGTTGTAAATTCCCCTTGCCCCTAAAAATGTTTCAAACAAATCTTAAAAAAATCGTCACCAAAAAATATACCTATGGGGGAAAAAAAAAATTTTTGCATAAGAGTTTTTCCTTGATTTGTTTTTTTAAATTTTCCCCCATTTTTCTTGGCCAAATATGAATCCTAATTATTTTTAAAAAATACTAAGCCGACGTTTTTTGGGCCAAAACCCCTTTTTAGCAGAAAATTAAGTTTATTTGGGAAAGGGTACACATAAATAAAATTTCTTGTATAGGGATTTTTTTGCAATCTACAAAGGGACTTTTTTTTACCCATCAGGAATTTTCCCCCTAAATTTTTAAAAACCAAAATGAAAGAAATATAGAAAATTTCGAGCCAAATTTTGTAAAACATAATTTCAAAGCAAAATAAGGAATTTTTCACTTCCTCCCTAAACCCTGGCAACCAACATAAAATCCTGAGGGGGTTTGGGTTTTGCTATTGTATACCCAAACATGGAAAATGGGGGGGCCCCAAAGGATCGGGCCGCACACCCCGAAAAACTGCGCTACGCCATTTTCCGGGAAAGGGGAACACGCAAGGACACACAAACCACCTGAGTCAACCCAAAACGAATGTCTTTTTTTATGAGAGAAGTAGTGAAAAAAGGTGCAAGTCCCCCTTTAATTGTTAAACAGCCCTCACCCGGGGATTTGGGTTCCCCAACCCCAATCACACCCTCCCCTCAACCTAAACCCCACTGACCAATCAGCGCCTCGCCCAATACTTTGTGGGAGGACCACCACCATGTTGACACGGTTTCGATACGGCGTACTTTGCAGTGGCCCTACCCAACGACTTAGAAAAAGATAAGATAAGATAAGATTTTTTTCGGATTTTTTAACCCCGGAGGGTTACCCCACCCAGAAAAACCCCAAAAAAAATCATGCTCATCAAGGACTGCCCTAACTTTTTTCCTTGGGGCCCCTTAATCTTGTCCCCCCAGGGATCGACCCAACCACGACTAACCCCCAAAGGTTTACCTATTTGCTGCTAGGTGAACGGGAAAACATTTGAAAGTGAAAGGGGGCGGGAAATTTTTCCCCACCCCCCCGGGAAAATCAAACCCCGGGGCCCCCCCGGTGTGAAGCGGGAGCTTTGGGCCAACCGGGCCCAACCCCGGGGCCCCAAATATAAATATATATCTTTTATTTCTACAAGTACATGTACGGGGTATATAGGGCTAGTGTTTAAAACCAAGGAATACTACTAAAAAAAAAAGCCTCTTGTTAGCAGAGAAATTTGGGGCAAATTGGGTTTCAGCCCCACGGCAGCATCATGGATCTTGTTACAAAGAATTCTTCAACACTTGCCCAAAACCTTTGGACGAAGACCTACTTCGATTTAGTGGGAAAGGGGGAATAAGATAAGATAAGTTTTTCTTTTCGGTTTTTTTAACCCCGGGGGTTTTTGCCCCCCGAAACCCCAAGGAAAGTCAGTGCGTCAATGAGGACTGCCCTAACTTATTTCCTTTGGGGGTCCTTAATTTTTGTCCCCCCAGGTGCGACCCACACCATTCGACTAACCCCAAAGGTACCTATTTGCTGCTAGGTAACGGGACAATGGGTTAAGAAACTGCCCAAAATGTTTCCACCCCCCGGGGAAATCGAACCCGGCCCCCCGGGGTTTAAAGGGCGGGAGCTTTAGCCACCGGGCCCCACCGGGCCACTATAAACCCCGCCTCCTCCTGCTTCGCCTCACCTCACTACAGAAATATAAGCCACGCCCACGGCCCTAGGGTTTTAAACCTTCTAAAAGATTGACGGACAAAAACACATCGACTCCAGGCTGGGGGACAAAATTAAACCTAAAACCCCCTCCCCTTTAAACGTTTTTCTATTTTTGTTTTGGACTGATAAAGGCCACTGGGGGCAAAAACTTTTCCTGAATAAAGATTCCCAATGTTGAAATAAGTGCCCAAAACCTTCAACTTGCCCGTTTTCAAACCATTCAACACAATAGGTCATTATGTCTAAAGGGTGTTTACCTGGAGTAACCCCGGAAAGAGTTTTCCGGGGGGCAACGCCCCCGCGGCCCCGGGCTGGGACCAGGCCTTTCCCGGTTGGAAACAGAAACCTGACAACCAGGGTGTTACTGCGGCTTTCCAAAGCAAACCAACGAAAAAAAGAGCCACAAACCCGGCTGGTTTAGGGGCCGACTTTAAGGGGCTTTTTCCGGCCAGCTGAAACTGCCAGGGGCTTTCGGGAATCCCCCTTATGTATGCTGGGAAAGGGATTGGGAAAATCTCGGGCCCCTGACACTTAATTTTAAAGGCTTTTAAAAGTGCTAGTGACACCCCTTTCTTTTCATTGGGGGGGTGTTGCAAACGTCTGCCAAATCTTTTTCTTTTGTAGTGAGTGATTTTCTGTGCAATTCCAAAAGTCCCCTAGGGTTTTTCCCGGTGTATAAAAAACATGAAACTTCCCCCCTGCCTTTTCCCGGGAATTTCGGTTCAGGGAAACCCCAAAAAACGCTCCCAGTAATTGGGGGTTTTTATTTTCCGTTATGCGCGCCGTGAAGGTTCCTGTAAAGTTCTAGGTCAGCAATTTCCCTGCCCGAAAGGGCTTTTTAGTTTTGGGACAAAAATTTCCCAAACCCAATGAAAAAAGGAAACCGAAAATGCAAACAAAGGGGTTGGGCCCCCCTAGTTTTGGGAAAGGTTTTCAATTTTCCATCCGGGCCTTTTTCTGGGAGTGCGATCGATACAATAATTTTGGCAAAATGCGAAAAAATTTCAAAAATTAGGTCCTTGAAGTGAGATCCCCCCGAATGATCACTCCCAGGTCTTTGACGTTTGGGGGTTTCGCTCAATTTTTTTTTGGGCCAAAAAATTTTTTTTTGTACTCTGAAGGGAAAATTTAAATTTTCCCCAATTTTTCCATATTTTGAATAAATTTAAAAATTTTTCATCGTTAACTTCATATTGTTTTTTTGCAGCCCACGGGAAAAATTTTTGGGTTGGGTGTCCGCCCGGAGCCCTTTCAGTGGGCGGGAAAGGAAGACACTGTCATTTCAGATTCGGGTGTCCCCTCTGCAAAGGAAGACAAAGGGGGGCTTGGGCTTTACATCCTTGTCTATTAATAAAGTTGGTAGAATTACCGAAATATGGAAAATAAAAGGACACAAATGCAAATAATTTTGCATTTAATTTTGGCAACGTTTTTGCTCTCCAGGGGCTTTAAAAAAAACCAATAAAAACAATACTGGACACAGAGGGTATATAAAGGCTTTAAGTGGGGGTGAAACTAGTGAGGTAACCATTTCGATGTTCACTAAATTTGGGAGTAGAGTAAATAGTTTGTGGATGACAAAAGTAAAACAAATGGAAAAGCAATTTAAATTTGTACCTGAGTAGAAGGATATAAAAGCTAATTTTCTTGGGGAACATAAAATAGGTTGGACAAATTAAAACTGGGAAAGAGGGAGCTTGTTACAGGTTCA